CCTCCCTCCATCACTGCCTCCCATCCTTCCCTCAATGCCTCCCTCCCTCCATCACTGCCTCTCCCCCTCAGTGCCTCCCTCCATCACTTCCTCTCCCCCTCAATGCCTCCCTCCATCAATCACTGCCTCTCTCCCTCAATGCCTCCCTCCATCAATCACTGCCTCTCTCCCTCAATGCCTTCCTCCACATTCACTGCTTCTCCCCTCAATGCCTCCCTCCATCAATCACTGCCTCCCATCCCACCCTCAATGCCTTGGAGGTCGGTGGCCTGTTGCCATGTGAGGGGATGCCGATGCCAAAATAAACCCAATACTAACCTTCGGTAATATCGAACGCCAGACTGGTATACAGTATTAGGCTCCAGATACCGGTCTCTCAAACCGTTCGTTATTACCGGCAGATTGGTATAAAAGAGGCTGTTAAATTGAGTGGATACTGTACATAAATAGAATTTCAGTGTTTTTTGTTTTGTTAATAGTGGATGTAGGACCTCTGTTCTTATCACATGGAGGGGTGGAACAGCCTGAGGCTGACAGGTAGAAACGCGGTGGAACGAATCTGCCTCGCCCATATAGTTCATTCAAGTGAGGACACATTGTATTAACTACAATTTCCACTACTTTGAACTAATAATGAGGACCAACAAGATAAATTTAATAACTCTATCGTCTCATATCAATGTAGGAAGAATCTGGCTGGAATTCTAGAGTTATTGCCTCAGATTTAATTACCCCTCACAACTGACACCACCACCTGCTCCCCCAGACCCCATCTGTTCTCCTGACAACTTACACCACCTACCTTCCTTACACCAACCCTCACAACTGACACCACCTGCACCCTTGACACCTTATACCACCACCTCCCCTACACCAACCCTCACAACTGACACCACCTGCACCCTTGACACCTTATGCCACCACCTCCCCTACACCAACCCTCACAACTGACACCACCTGCACCCTTGACACCTTATGCCACCACCTCCCCTACACCAACCCTCACAACTGACACCACCTGCACCCTTGACACCTTATACCACCACCTCCCCTACACCAACCCTCACAACTGACACCACCTGCACCCTTGACACCTTATGCCACCACCTCCCCTACACCAACCCTCACAACTGACACCACCTGCACCCTTGACACCTTATGCCACCACCTCCCCTACACCAACCCTCACAACTGACACCACCTGCACCCTTGACACCTTATGCCACCACCTCCCCTACACCAACCCTCACAACTGACACCACCTGCACCCTTGACACCTTATGCCACCACCTCCCCTACACCAACCCTCACAACTGACACCACCTGCACCCTTGACACCTTACGCCACCGCCTCCCCTACACCAACCATCACAACTGACACCACCTGCACCCTTGACACCTTACGCCACCACCTCCCCTACACCAACCATCACAACTGACACCACCTGCACCCTTGACACCTTATGCCACCACCTCCCCTACACCAACCATCACAACTGACACCACCTGCACCCTTGACACCTTATGCCACCATCTCCCCTACACCAACCCTCACAACTGACACCACCTGCACCCTTGACACCTTATGCCACCACCTCCCCTACACCAACCATCACCACCTGCACCCTTGACACCTTATGCCACCACCTCCCCTACACCAACCATCACAACTGAACCACCTATCTCTCTAGACAACTTCCACCACTTGTCTCCTCTGACAACTACTGACACCACTTGCCTCCCACTGCAAAGACTGACACCACTTGCCTCTCCTGACAACCACTGACACAACTTGCCTCCCCTGACACCATTTGGCAACGTCTGACCACCTGACTTCCTTGACAACCACTGATACCACCTGTCTCCAATGATAACCACTGACACCACCTGCCTCCAATGACAACCACTGACACCACCTGTCTCCAGTAACAACCACTGACACCACCTGCCTCCAATGACAACCATTGACACCACCTGCCTCCAATAACAACCACTGACACCACCTGCCTCCAATGACAACCACTGACACCACCTGCCTCCAATGACAACCACTGACACCACCTGCCTCCAATGACAACCACTGACACCACCTGCCTCCAATGACAACCACTGACACCACCTGCCTCCAATGACAACCACTGACACCACCTGTCTCCAATGACAACCACTGACACCACCTGTCTCCAATAACAACCACTGACACCACCTGTCTCCAATGACAACCACTGACACCACCTGCCTCCAATGACATCCACTAACACCACCTGCCTCCAATGACATTCACTGACACCACCTGCCTCCAATAACAACCACCACTGACACCACCTGCCTCCAATGACAACCACTGACACCACCTGTCTCCAATGACAACCACTGACACCACCTGCCTCCAGTGACAACCACTGACACCACCTGCCTCCAATAACAACCACCACTGACACCACCTGCCACGAATGACAACCACTGACACCACCTGTCTCCAATGACAACTACTGACACCACCTGCCTCCAATGACATTCACTGACACCACCTGCCTCCAATAACAACCACTGACACCACCTGCCTCCAATAACAACCACCACTGACACCACCTGCCTCCAATAACAACCACCACTGACACCACCTGCCTCCAATGACAACCACTGACACCACCTGCCTCCAATAACAACCACCACTGACACCACCTGCCTTATGCGGTAAATATTTGTTAAGCTACTGTATATTTATGAGATACAGTATTTTATTCCTTCCATACATTCTTGGAACTCCATATTCATAAAGAACTGTAAAAAACCACTATCGCAGGCCCTCCACATTCTGTGGAGACAAAGCCTAGATACTGGCGTTATTCCTGATATACTAAAAACAGCAGAGATAGCACCACTTCATAAAGGAGGAAATAAGGCAGAGGCAAAAAATTACAGACCGATAGCACTAACATCGTACATCATAAAATTTTTTGAGAGAGTGCTAAGAAGTAAGATCACAAAATACATGGAATCACAGCATCTCCATAACCCCGGACAACATGGTTTCAGAACAGGGCGCTCTTGCCTGTCGCAGTTGCTGGACCACTATGATATGGCATTAGATGCTATGGAAGACAAACAAAACGCTGATGTAATTTACACAGATTTCGCAAAAGCTTTTGATAAATGTGACCATGGTGTTATTGCACATAAAATGCATTCAAAAGGAATTACCGGAAAAATAGGCAGATGGATCTACAATTTCCTGACCAACAGAACCCAATGTGTAATAGTCAACAAAATAACATCCAGCACATCAACCGTAAAGAGCTCAGTCCCCCAGGGTACTGTGCTTGCTCCAGTACTTTTTCTCATCCTCATATCGGACATAGACAAGAACACAACCTTTAGCACTGTATAATCCTTTGCAGATGACACTAGGATCTTCATGAGAGTAGGCAACATAAAGGACATGGCAAACCTCCAGTCAGATGTAGATCAGGTCTTTCTATGGGCTACAGAAAATATTATGGTGTTTAACGAAGATAAGTTCCAGCTCATGCGCTATGGAAAAAATGAAAATATAAAAACGGAAACCACGTACAAAACTCAGGCAAATCATAACATAGAATGAAAAGGCAATGTAAAGGATCTGGGTGTACTCATGTCGGAAGACCTTACCTTTAAAGAACACAATAAAGTAGCCGTCACAACTGCAAGAAAAATTACAGGTTGGATAACAAGAACTTTTTACATTAGAGATGCTATACCGGTGATGACACTTTTCAAAACGCTTGTGCTCTCTAGAGTGGAGTACTGCTGCACAATGACAGCCCCTTTCAAAGCTGGAGAAATTGCTGATCTGGAGAGCGTGCAGAAATCCTTTACTGCTAGAATCCACTCAGTAAAACATCTAAACTATTGGGACCGACTAAAGAGCCTAAAACTGTACTCCCTTGAGCGCAGGCGGGAGAGGTGCATAATAATTTACACGTGGAAAATATTAGCGGGGCTGGTCCCGAACCTGCACACAGAAATAACATCACATGAGACCAGAAGACATGGCAGGATGTGCAGAATACCCCCGTTGAAAAGCAGAGGTGCAACAGGTACTCTGAGAGAGAACTCTATCAACATCAGAGGCCCGAGACTGTTCAACACGCTTCCACTACACATAAGGGGCATAACTGGCCGACCCCTCACAGTGTTCAAGAGAGAACTGGATAAGCACCTCCGAAGGATACCTGATCAACCAGGCTGTGACTCATACGTCAGGCTGCGAGCAGCCGCGTCCAACAGCCTGGTTGATCAGTCCAGCAACCAGGAGGCCTGGTCGACGACCAGGCCGTGGGGACTCTAAGCCCCGGAATCACCTCAAGGTAACCTCAAGGTAAGGTACAGTGGGGCAGGGAAAGTGGTGCTGCCTTATTTTGCTGGGTCGTCTTATGCGCCGAATATAGGTCTAAACCTGAATTACACCTAAATTTTTTGAGTCGACTTATATGCCGGCATATACAGTGTGCATTTTGATTAAAATTATTATTTCTAAACAAGGGATGAATCCTCATAGTTGATTTTTATTAAGTATAATTAGAATTCATTGACTTATTCTTATATGTGTGAAATATTTCCCATAAGTGGGGCAAATGAGCTTGTGCTAGTTTCGGGAAAATTCAGCCACTTGTTTACATTGTTAAGTGAGTTCATTAGGTTGTTTTCGAGGATTTTTGTTTTGTTTTTAAGCCATTAGTGGTGTGTTTTGGCTCGGTGACTTCCCTGGTGAGAAGGTGAAATATCAATGCTCCCTGTGCTTCTTTGAGGATGCTAGGTTCTGGTGCTGGTACCCAGAAGGCCTGTAGAATGCTATGGCTGATGCACGCACATAGATGAGAACCATCTCTGCATATAGTTTTTCAGGGAGCCACCAGAGCTTTCCCAGAAATTTGCATTTTGTTATCATCAATGGTGGTTTGTTTTGGCTGAGTGAAAAATTTGATGTGCTTCATATATATTTTTTTTATTTATTTCAGGTTGTCATGGTTTGCCGTATATGCTGGTTATGTATTAGCACTGGCAGTAATCTGCATTATTGTCCTGCCTCTTGCCAAAGTATTCCAAAATGCTAACCTCGTCCTCCTGTTCATCCTGTTTATTCTCTACGGTTGTTCCTCTATTGTTTTTGCTCTTATGATGACTCCATTCTTCAGTAAAGCAAAGGTAATTTAATACACGTTTTCATCATGAGTCAAGTTCAAACAAGTATAGTACTGTACAGTACACATTAGTGCAAGTAGACATTAGGAATGTTAATATAGACTGAAGAGAGGATTATAGATCTCCTTCTAAGTCTGTTATATTGAAGTGAAATATGAGCTTTGAATGAAAGAACTCTTAAACTCAGGCTATTGATATGAAGTAAGAAATGCATTTGATATATGAAGTTGAGGTAATAGAAAAGTGTGTGATGAAAGATATGAGGGCTGAGAAGACTCCTTGTGTGAGGTGGAGAGGACAGTTATGTATCTGATATCCCTGGGGGGGATATGAGATTAATGTATTCGATCCCCATCGAAGGCGGAAACAAATGGGCAGTTTCTTTCACCCTGATGTGCCTGTTCACCTAGCAGTTGATAGATACCTGGGGTTAGACAGCTGCTACAGGCAGCTTCCTGGGATGTGTAACAAACAGGAGGATTGGTCGAGGACCGGGCCGCGGGGGACGCTAAGCCTCGAAATCACCTCAAGATAACCTCTAGATACCACATCTTTCTGGGGAAACCCCCTTTTGGCTTCCTGAAGCTATACACAGCTGTATAGCTTTGGCTGTGTTCGCTTACTCTTAGATCTGGCATAGCAATCCCAGTACCTGGGTGTCCTTCATGGTCTATGCTTCGGACCCTGGAACTGCCGTGCTGGTTCAGTGGTCCTGTGAATATCATCCCCGAATCTGCTCTTGCCACTTGCGAGTTTCAGGGTTTCTCGTTGTCTATGTCACGTGATGACGATCATTCACTCAGTCTCTATCATGCTTCCTATTGTTGTGGTGACACCTTCAACCCTGAGTCCTGTACAATTTGTGCTCCACATGTGGCTCTTTCTGGGGAGAGCCCCGTCTATCGGCTCCCTGAAGTATCCGAACTAATATGTGCTATATTAGTTTGGGGTCACAAGGAGTTCTTAAGCCTACCGGGAACCACGAGCCAGAACCTGGTTCCCTCAGAGAGGTGCAGGGCACAATGGGGTATTAGCACTTTACATTTAAAGTACAGTATGTCATATTCTGCCATCAACCGGGTTGGATACCAAAGAATGATAGGTGAACCAAAACAAACAACTAGCTGGTAAGTTGCTACCTACAGCCAGAAAAACAAAGAAACTCCTGTAGAAAACTCTGGCTGCCCACCGTCCCAGTTCTCATCGTGATGTGCTAGCGAGCCATTCAATCACCTCTAGCCTCAAGTTCTTGTTCTGGATTTTGCCCTGTGTGGCTGTACCTGCTGTGTGTGTGGTGTGGAGGCCAGGTGTTCTTGTACTTAGAGCTGCATGTGCCTAGAGCACACTTACCTGCTTGATGGGGGTTGATACTTGGTTGATACCTGGTTGATGGGGGTTCTGGGAGTTCTTCTACTCCCCAAACCCGGCCCAAGGCCAGGCTTGACTTATGAGAGTTTGGTCCACCAGGCTGTTGCTTGGAACTGCCCGCAGGCCCAACCAGGCAGCCCACCACAGCCCAGTTGGTCTGGCAATTCTTTTTTGAAAACAATCTAGTTTTCTCTTGAAGGTGTTCATGGTTGGGTTCTGGGAGTACTTCTACTCCCCAAGCCCGGCCCAAGGCCAGGCTTGACTTGTGAGAGCTTGGTCAACCAGGCTGTTACTTGGAGTGGCCTGCAGGTCCAACCAGGCAGCCCACCACTGCCTGGTTGGTCCGGCACTTCTTGAAGAAAACTATCTAGTTTTCTCTTGATGATGTCCATGGTTGTTCACACAGTATTTCATATAATCGCTGGGAGGATGTTGAACAACTGTGGACCTCTGATGTTTATATGGTGTTCTCTGATTGTGCTTATGGCACCCCTGCTCTTCACTGGTTCCATTCTGCATTTTCTTCCATATTGTTCACTCCAGTATGTTGTTATTTTACTGTGTAGATTCGGGACCGGGCCCTCCAGTATTTTCCACAAGTATATTATTTGATATCTCTCTTGTCTCCTTTCTAGTGAGTACATTTGGAGAGCTTTGACACTTGCCTAGGGGCTTCATAAGTACTACGCTTGTGTGTCAGGGTTCTCTTCCCTGGCCGTTCAAGACTCACTCTCCATTTGAGGGTTTCGTTGCTTGACGTCTTTGCCCTTGGGGCGAGCCGGGAGTCTGGGACTTTTCATCTTGCCCTGGGTAGGGGATGTTATTGCCGGGGAAGGGGGAAGGGCACACTGCGGCTGGGGTAGTTTGCTTAATACCTATGCGACAGGACATTACTCTTCGGCGGCTAGTTTGCTTGAGGTGTGGTTTTGAAGGCTTGTTCTTCTTTCATTTTATTTTTTTTTTCCCTCTGAGTGCAGAGGAGGTCTGCTTAATTGCTTATTAAGTCCACCTAGGTTATGGTGACTCTCCTCCATTGCCCCTGAGGTTTCACCACTGTTTCTGGTTGTCAGTTTCCCTGCTTCAAAGCAGGAGGGTCTTCCAACTTAACTGGCCCCAGTGGGCTTTCCATAGGGCTGTCGTACCCTGCGAGCCTTGGAAAACTCCCGTGGGCTCGGTTAGTAATATGGATCCAACTGTATCCTCTCTGGATTTGTGCAATGTTAAGGTTGTTTGTCACCCTTGCCTCAGGGAGACGATCACCCATACTTCATTCAGCCATTCTTGGAGTATCTCTTTGCAGAGATAAACCGATACGCTCTGCAACTCATTGCCTCAAGAATTTTACCTACCTCTCGAATGATACCTTGAAAGACATGCATATTGAGGAAATGTATGTGTTTTTAGCGTTGTGCATGATGATGAAGCATGCAGAAAAACATGGGATCGAGGATTATTGGAACAAAGACTGCCTTGTTCAACAGGTACATGTCACGTGATAGATTCCTGCTGCTTCTCAGGTTCCTCCTCTTTGAGTGCACTGCTAATGAAGACAGACACGACAGACTGTGGAAAGTGCGGAAGGTACTTAGTGATTTGAGAGGAAAGTTCCATGACTGTTTTGTACCAGTACAGAATGTCGTGATTGATAAATTGCTAGTTCTCTTCAAGGGAAGACTGGCAGTCAAGCAGTATATTCCATCAAAGCGGCACCAGTTTGGACTCAAGTTTTTCGTGCTATATGACTGCAAAACTGGTATTGTCATGGACATGATATTGTATTCTGGTAAGGACGTTGACATACCAGGTCAAGATCCACACAGGTTCTCGGAAGTGTCATGAAACACTCATGGAACCATGGCTGAACAAGGGGCATATCCTCTACACAGACCATTACTATACCAGCCCCTTGCTGACCAGATTCCTCCTTGACCACAACAACGGTGTATGTGGCACTGTCAAGACACATAAGAGGGAAATGGCAGTGTTTGGTGTTGGTATTGCAGTGGGTGAATGCCAGCTGAAAATGTGTGATAAAATCTTATCTGTGCTCTGGAGAGACAAAAGCAAGGTGAATATGTTGTCAACTATTCACACTGGCACAAAGTTGGACAGTGGCAAAGTCAACTTTGTAATGGGGGGGAAAATGTATAAACCTGATTGTTTCATTGACAATAATATAAATATGCGTTTAGTAGATAAGTGTGACATGATGGCTGGTGTCGTCAAGTGCGTGAGAAAATATGTGAAGTGGACCAAGAAATTGGGTTTCCACTTTGTTGATATTACAGTGCTGAACTGTTTCAACACGTATCTTGTGAAATCTGGCAAGAGACCACCTATCTGTACATTTAGAGAGGTGGGTACATTTGCTGTAGTGTTGCAGATGCTGGTAAAATATGGGGTGGAGTGCAGTGTTGTGCCGCGTGGGGTGCCAGCAACAATGCCTCATGCACTTCTTGACAGACTTAGGTGTAAAGAGTACCTTGCTGTACTTAAGCTAGATTATATGCCAAGCATAGGGAACACGTGACAAGGGCAAACATTCCTTTGTTATATGCAAGAGCACACAACGTAAGGAACAGAGGTGAAGATCCATCAGTACTTATTACATCACTTACTGGAGTTGAGTGATATAATACAGCTGCAGACACCAGGCATTGTTGCACTCACAGAGATGAAGCTTGAAGATGATATTTTCAATGAGGTCATATTCCCAAGGGGCTACTCAGTTTGGAGACGGGACAGAAAAATTAGGAAAGGCAGTGGCGTTGCTGTGCTGGATAAAGAACACTTAAAGATAAACGAAATAATGACTGCCAATCCATAAGAAGTTGACATAATAGCACTAGAGATCTGCAATCAGGATGATAAACTAATGATCATAAATGCATATAGTCCAGCACCATGCAACACATTGACAAAGTAGGAGCTGGATAATAAACAAGAGGATCTTATAACAATAATGAAAGACTTCATAGCGAGAGCGGATAAAGATATATCTGGACTGTTGGTAGTTGGTGACTTGAATTTGAAATCCATAGACTGGGAGGCATATCCCGCCAAACACACACCGAAACTACGACGTTGGTACAACGTTCGAACAAGTTTTAACACCTCCTAACCAGTTATAACAACCAATATAGCAAGTTGTAACAACGTTCTAATACGTCATAAACACGTTAAGCCAAGATGTAACAACTTTATTACAAGTTGTAACAAGCGGAAAATAGAGACAGTTACGGTTTGTGTTTACAGGGATAAAGCTTGACCAGAGGACTATTGGACCTGTTGATTCGTAAACCTCATCCTGGAAACATTCATATATCAACATGTTAAACAAGCTACAAGGATGAGGGAAGGGGACGTTCCCTCCATGCTAGATTTAATATTTATCAGGAAAAATGAAGAGTTATTTGACATTTAGTATTTTCCTCCCTTGAGTAAAAGTGACCATGTCTTTTTGGAAATAAAGTACGCAATGCATTATACAGTAATCTGGAAGACAATAAGGAGGTTGAAGCAGTTGAAAAACCTCATTTCAGGAGAGGACATTATGGGGGAACAGAATTTTTTTTAGGAATTTGCCCGGAATTTGTTAGTCATTTCCTAACAGCAAAAAAGACTTGCTGTTAGGA